GTCATTAAATCATGTTTAATTTGGACTTCTCTGTGCATGCTCTTTGAGGTGGACCCATATATGACTGACATACAACAACGGTTTGACCTAAAAATATCCAAATTGAAAATACTGTGGAAACAAGACCCCTACATCTAGGATGCCCTTGATGTAAGCTAAAACATATCAAAAATTAATTTCAAAGTGAACTATACCTTTAATGTCGTTTTTTAGAAAATTCTAGAAATTATCCATTTTGAAAAATAAAGTTTAAACAATGGTATGCAGCCGGCCGCTGGCCTGGTTGATTCAGCCGACAAATTGCAAAACTGTGGTTTTTTTCAACAGAAGTAAGTCAACGGAAATAAAATTGAGAAACAAAATTGAGAAACAAAAAAAAAAAAAGCTTTGTCACTTATTTGATTCAATTAAATATCAAATCAATGTATATAAGGAAAATAAGTCTGCAAGTGAATATTTCACCAGACTAAAAAACGAATAAAGAAGAAAGCATGTTTTAGTTAAAAAAAGAATAAGGAATGGATGCAAAAGTACACCGAAGGTAGTGGGAGGGAGTGTGTGTTGTGAGCACGTCAGCCAGAGCTGTAGTGTGTGTGTGTGTGTGTGTGTGTGAGTGAGAGTGTGTGAGTGAGTGAGTGAGTGAGTGAGACTACTGCCTGCTGAACAGAGGGTTGCCCAAAAAAAGTATCTGAAATACCGGTGTTTCGGCTACAAAAACCAGCCGAACTGATTTGAAACCAGCCCAATTTTTATCCACCCGTCCAAACCCGTTTACCCGTTGCAAAAGCACCCAATCTGGTAACCCTGTCTATGTTTGAAAAACGCAGACCTGTGGCAGTGCCACCCCGTACCCCTGATCCAAAAACACAGCAAAGACTTTAACAAACAATTTTTCTTTTCAACTTTCTATTCATTAAAGAATCCAGATTTTTTTTTTATATCACAGCTTCTCCCAAAAAATTAAGCTGCACAATGTTATACAACTTAATAATAAATCAATAATAATAATCAATAACTCAATAATAATAATAGGAAATAATTCTTGAAGGGTCATGTGACACTGAAGATGGGAGAAATGGCTGCTAATAATTCAGCTTTGCCATCACAAGAATAAATTAAATTTGAAAATAAATACAATTGAAAACAGTTATGCATTGTAATAATAATATTTCACAATATTACAACATCACTGTTTGTACTGTATTTTCAATCAAATATACCCAATCGAATAAAACCTAAATATTGCTTACCCCAAATTTTTGAATTGTAGTGTATAAACCATTGATTCATTGAATTTCCTATTGTTCCATTTGACTCAAAACAACAAAAAATCCGCCATGTCTAGACAGGAAGTAGTGTGACGGCAGAACATCTTTGTGGTTCTGTGAAATCCAGCTTACAGTTCAGACAACAGATGTGTACAAAAGGTTAAAGGAAACTTACTCATCTCAGCCAGCTTCTGGATCAGCGTTGACTCGCCACTTGATTTGCTAAAAATAAACAAACAGCCTCAATGATTCACTAGATTCAAACTTGGAGAGATAAATGAAGAAAAATGGAACATAAATCCCACCTTCCATCAGCTTCATCTTGTCCATCCATGTCAAAGCGCAATCTCTTAAGTGGTTTGGGGGCGGCTCCTCCATCCAGACTCCTCTTGAGGGACCAATCAGTGCTACTCACCATCTGATTGATCTTTTGAAATTTGTCTGCAGACTATTAAGATTAAGAGAGAGTTTTTTTTTTAAAACAAGTCTTAACACATTTTAAATAGTTTGAAAGTTTAATAAGTGCTTCCATCACTAACCCCAAAGGATTCGCCGATCGATATAAGAATTCTGTCCAGGACAACACAAAGAAAAGATTCAATGAGTGCAAACCAACACACATAAATCCACATAATCTGAAAGATTTTGAAGTTTACTTTTTTCAACAAATATATAAAAGATAATAATCTAGTCAACCTCACTAATCATCTCGCCTCACAGTAAAAGAGAAAGTTCTTAAGTCAAGTTATTCATTGAACACACAATTCAAGGGTGTTAAGGTATTAAGATTTAATTCTGTACATGCCCAAAATTAGTAGACAATCTTCCAAATGTAATGACAGAGGTGAACACTAACCTGCTCCGTGGGGTCATGGGTACAGGGGACATGCGGCTGCTTTTCAATGGGGAGACGTAGACGTTATTGCTGCCGGGCACACGCAGAGGAGAGTTTTTATAGGGGCTGCAGGGGATGCGAGGAATGGGAGACAGAGGTGGCGGCTGGGAGACAAAAAGAAACATCCTCAAGTCAACCACAAGCTGTTGTAGAAATCCTTTCGTTCAATTGAATATGATTTCAGGCCACTAGGGGGCAGTATAACACAAGAAAGTATTCAATAAAAGTTTAAAAGGTAGCATGTCTCACCCGAGGAGAGGAATATTGAAGAATGTTAGTCTTGAGCTTCTGCATGAAGACCAGATTGTAGAAGACAATGATGGAGTCGTACTGACCCTCTCTGATCAGCACACGCTTAAATGTCTGACACATCCGGACAAATCAAAGAGTTAAGTTGTTTTGTGTTTGTTAATATCACTTTCAATTCATTCTTAATATACTTGAATGATCATCTGAAACAAGTCATTTGACTCTCACCTCCTGATTAGCATTGGGCAGCTCTTTATAAGCGGTCACAATAGTTTTGAAGCGCAAGTCAACGTTCTTCACCTTGCATATGGCATACATAGCCGACATGATCAACTGCAATGAACAGAGGAGCAGGTCAAGTATCTAAGTCATTTTATTGTACATACTGCAAAGCTTAAAAAACAAATTCAGCATATTATAATGTTTATGAAAAAAATGGTCGTACCTGGTCTAAGTGTCTCTCTTGCATTAATTCGTACTCGTTCTGGAGGGTGTGCTGAAGCAGGGTCCATATTATAGGTTCCAGTTCTGGGTGTGAGGTCAGCAGGTGCGAGAACAGCGTTTTCAGTCGCAGGTAGGCCATCCTGTACACTGCCAAAAGCAAAACAACAACAAAAAACTGTTTTATCTCAACAATTTAGAAAAGTAGTATGTTATGTATTAATGACTCTCTCAAAAGAGAGTATTGCTTTAACTTACGCTTTTTGTAGAAAAGGCTCAGAGAGTTTGAACGGGGTGCATTGGTGCCTGGTGTTGGGGGCTCAGCCTCTGTTGACGGGGGTTGGCGGCTCGGCCGCACGGGAGAGAGATACCTGGGAAAGGTGAGAAGGTTAAATGAGTTAACATACTCATTTTGCCAATGAAAAGAGAAAAATGAGAGAGCTAATAGATGTCAGTGGCTAAAAAGTTTGGGGTCGGTATGATTTGTTAAAATGTTTTTAAAAGAAGTCTCTTGTGCTCACCAAGGCTGCATTTATTTGATTAACAATATAGTAAAAAATATGGTGAAAAATTATCACAACTAATAATGATTTTCTTTTTGAATATATTTTAAAATGTAATTTATTCCTGTGGTGGGAAAGCTCTGAAAGCTGAATTTGATCCTTCTGAAATCATTCTAATAATCTAATTTGCTGCTCAAGAAACATTTATTTTCAATTATTATCAATTTTGAAAACATTTGCGCTGCTTAAAGGGTTAGTTCACCAAAAAATGAAAATCATCACTGGATGAATTCGCGAACTGGACATCAATGGAAAAATCGCGTCTATCGCACCGTGCTTAACGCGCCTGGAGGTTCTGCGGCGCGATGGACGCGATTTCGCCTCAATGCATCATTACATTGACTTAACATGGAAATCACAGGAGCAGACACTCAATTTGCACTCACGCTCAATTTGCGTTCAGTGAGATCGAGATCAGATCTCTGTGTGGAGCACCACCTATTGTCAGACTCCTTGTGCAAAAAAAATCTCAAAGGATTATTACAAATAATGTCAAAAGGAATGTTTCCTATAATTCCTACTGACATATTACAGCAAAATATACAAATAACTGGCTTAAAACAATTTTTTGGGGCGAAAATATTAACGTGCCTAAAACACTTGCACAGTACTGTATATGTATTTTATTTAAATAAAATAGATATAAATAAATGCAACATGAATTTGCAAGATCTGAAGTGTCGACTGTTTCCCACCATCACGTGCAAAGCTAGCACATGAAGCAACACGTGAAATCAGACCTAGTTTTACAGACAAGACTAACCACAGCACACAACCCCTAGGCCTAATAACCTACGAGCTTGTGTTAGCGACCTCAAAATTACCCAGGAGTGTTTTTGGTTCCCTGTTCAATCAAAAAGGAAGCACGCCACTTCGTTCTCACGAAAAGGTTTCTTGAAACTAGCATTAATCTCTTAATCTATACCTAATCTGACATTATACAATAGACAAGGCAAGTTTATTTAGTAGCTTTACCTTATACTGTTATTCATCAGTGTTGAAATTTGGGTCACTTCATGACTTTGGGAAAATGTGGGTCCCATGTGCCATGGAGAACCACTGAACTAAATTATAGGGTCAAGAGTCACTTTTTTTAAAATCAGAATAAACTCTCAAATAAACATATTTAGTAGTTCATGCACTTCCTGTGAATCTGACCATGATCTTGGTGTTGCGTGCACCATGCTCACTATATTTTGGCTATAAGTAGACCAATTATAAATAATCCTTTCAAAATGCCCAATAAAAGTCAAAGTCAAATCACATTCAGAAATGCTTTAGCAATTCCAGGAAATTTCAATGCCCTTTGGAAATGAAGAATCAGTGTAGACCACTAATATGCAGACATTGTGTACTGATTTTGTATAAAATGCTTGTGTGATATCTTATTAAAAAACAACTCAGTGGGCACTCTTGAATTAAGACACTTTTTAAAATTTCCGTGGCGATTTTTTTTACCCACGCTCCTATTAAATTCTAACACTGGTAATTCTATCTTTCAACTTATTAGACTAATAGACTAGGCTACTGAAATGTGACAGTCCACCATTTAAAGATTTCTCTATTCAATTTGATGAAAATGTGTCATAATTGAAACTTGTAAATCTTAAAAAATATATTTTTTGGGGTGTAAATCTTAAATCGCTGAATAAACTGCTTAAAGTTCCAGACTGAATCAGCTTTCCTGTACTGCGTTTACAAGGCGTGTTTAAGCCCCGTTCATTCGACATCAATCCCAATAGACATTTCCAAGCACTGTGTCATAAGTTCACTTCAGTATTCTGTGTTGCATCATAAATCTATGTATTGCAAAAGTCAGATTATGTTGATAAACAGGTTTATAATTCATTTTTGTCTCACAATGTGTTGAGTTCTGTGTGAGAAGCTTGAAAGGCAGAAGAGTGGTATGTAAATTAATATGACAGTAAGGAGGAGCGAAGGGAACTCTGAATGCGGCTGCGATTCGAGCGAGAAATGAGAGAGGTCTCCTGCTTGGGTCTGGAGCAGTAGATTCAGTAGAGAATGATTTAAAATCCACTCATACAGATATCTGCCTGCAAGAGGGGCACCTCAGCCCATGAGCGAAAGGGGGAGTGACAGAAAAATCAGATCATTAATTTGCATTTTCCATCAATGGTTATGCAATAACTTCCTATGTTAGAATGTGTCATATTTCCTCTTTAAGGCAAATTATTTTCAGGAATTGCAGCTAAAATGAACAACATTCAGTAGTGGTAGAGAACGACTTCAAAAGAATTGCTTCCTCGATTTAAACTAGCTAGCCCAAGTAACTAGCCCTTTCTTTTATACTTAGGCGACTGTATCCTGTTTTGAACAGGATAGAAATAGTTTTGAGAGATGACTCACAGATCAGCAGCGGTGTGGTTGTGATGCAGGGGTTGGTTCAATGTTGCGGGGGGCTCTGCTTGTTCACCAGGTCCTTCCTCACGGGACTGTTTCAGGAGGTCAAAGAGAGGAGAGTCCTACAGAGAAGAACAAGACAGAGTTACATCACGGATCTGAAACCGAGACTATTGCCAACTCAGTGAAAAGGGAACTGATTAGAGGATAGTCAGGATACAATGAGTCTTTTACTGAAAGGGTATACTTATACTTTTTGTCATTCTATTTGATCGATAAATCTATTCAATTCATCTGAAGAACTTTATTTACACACTCAAAACCTCATGATTATGCCTGCATGTAAATCAAGGTATTCTTTGCAATAAATAACTGATTAAATATTGGAAATAACGGAGATCCTTTAAAATAATACTTACTAAGCTAAATAATACCTTTCTTATATATATCTATATATTTTTTTTTCTTTTCTTAATTTAATATATTTAATATTGCATAAAAAGTGTTAACTTAAAATAAAAAATCTAAACCAATTGCAAATTTATATATTAATTTTATTCAAATAACCTCCAGGTTCGACAAACTGTAAATGAACTCTCAACACTTGATTTACAAGCTCAGAGTTTGCATATTGTGCTGTATGCGTGATGTCACACTGAGAACATGTAAACTTTGGACTGACAATCCCTCTTTGTATATACCTAGGAATCAATGGGCAATGTGCTATTACATAACGCACACAAGGCAAGAGAAAAGAACAGCCCAGAGCAACAGTTACAATCTTATTTTTCCCTACCCAAACGTGAGACATTTAAACTGACCAATCAGAAGATGATAACGCCCCCACCGTACTTAGGGTGTGAAAATTAGCAGACTCCTAATATACATACAAATACAAGACCTACAGGCTTTAGGGCACTTCTCTGCTTCACACCTCCCTTGTAGGGGGATGGAAGAGGAAAGCAAAAGTCTTTGTTGATCTTCACCCTTACAACGTCCATTTTATATAATAAATGAAAGAAAGAATCAGTCTTTGGGAGACTTTTTTTAATTCATCCAGTATAGAATAACAAATAATTAAGAGATCATAAAATGAAAGCATTTAATAGTTAACAAATGTGATTTAACAGGAAATAGAGATCTTAACCTCAATATTAAAGAAATGTTGCTGGACTGTAATATGCTAAAACATCATTCACTAGGTGTGCAATCCAATAACATGTGAACAGTGTATAGAAAGTCATTCTGAAAGTGTGCTATGTGCAAAAAGGAAGAACGAGGGAGCTATAGATAGATATTTAGAGAGGAGGTGGTTTAACCTCAGCCCCGCCTTCTCGCCTGCTTTCCAGTCCTCCACATTGACGCAAATCTCATTGTGTGAACTAGAGACTGAACAGCCGGTTGGGTACTAAATACCTCACATTGCTACAACAAAGTGCCAAACTATGAAGATCTTAAAGAGACACAGAAGATCATCAAGTCTCAGTAAAGGGAAGCCAAGAGGAGGAACAAGGCACTGAAATCAAAACTGGGCTGACTTTTTTTGTGAAGAAAATCAACTATGGAAGAACTATTCATCAAGGTGTAAAGATTGAAGTCTTATTAGCATCACAAATCTTGCGAGCACCTTGGAATTTCAGATATAAAGAGCAAACAACTACAAAACAACTTCCAGTGAAGATAATAAGGCAGCTATTCATTGAAGCACGCACAAACGAATCTTAATCTTCCACCATACCTTGAGAAGAGAAAAAAGGTAATCTAACACGGCCTGTTTATGCAAATGTTTACGCGTGAACTTCCGTTGCACATTGACCGTAGGACATCGCAACATCTGAACGGTAAGAAGCTTCTTAAGGCAACCCCGTGAAATGTTTACAGACTGGATTTGTATACTTTTACATGGATCTCCATCAAATTTGATGTGGTTCTCTGACCTTTGAAAGCAACACAGGACAGTGACTCCTTTTAAGCCAAACAACATAAATGATGACCGATAACGAGAGTTGCCCCATCAAGGATGCTTTTAAATATGTGTTATACAGCTCTGTTTTCAGTATTGTCTTTATTCTCGGGCTTCTCTTCAACATGATGGCCATGTACATTTTTCTATGTAGACTGAAAATGCGCAACGAGACCACAACGTACATGATGAACCTCGTGGCCTCGGATACTCTCTTTGTCTTCAGCTTGCCTTTCAGGACGTTCTACTTCATCAATCGTGAGTGGCCTTTCGGTAAACCTCTCTGCCAAATCTCAGTGGCCTTGTTCTACACCAATATGTATGGCAGCATCCTCTTCCTCACGTGCATCAGCGTGGATCGCTTCCTGGCAATTGTTCATCCCTTCGCATCTAAAACATTGAGGACAAAGCGTAATGCTAGAATAGCCTGCTGTGTGATATGGGTGATTCTGCTGTCGGGGGGCCTAACGGCAGGGTTTGTGATGGACACCACATCATACACGGACAACAAAACCACAACATACACGAACACCACATCATACACGGACAACAAAACCACAACATACACCTACTGTTTTGAGAACTACTCAAATTCGCAGTGGAAGTCCATGGTTTCAAAAGTAGTGGTGTGTATGGAGACAGTGGGCTTCTTGATTCCATTGATGATCAACTTTACCTGCTCTATAAGGGTCCTGCAGACTTTACGACACCCAGAGTGCATTAACCGTGGAGGGCAGCTGAACAAGGCCAAGATCTTGCGTATGATTGCAGTGCACTTGTTAATTTTCTGTTTTTGCTTTATCCCGTACAATGTCAATCTGGTCTTCTACACCCTGGTCAGGAGTCAGGTTATTACGAACTGCACTGTGGAGACAGTGGTCCGGACCCTTTATCCAATCACGTTCTGCTTAACTGTGACCAACTGTTGTTTTGACCCAGTGATCTATTACTTCACCTCTGAGACCATTCAGAACTCTATTAAACGGAAGTCTTATGCTGTCCACCAAAACACATTAAACAACAAAGTTGACACCAGTGATATCAGAAGCAATTCGATGAATAAAAGCATAACTCTAAAAGCTAAATTCCTCATTGAAGAGTCTACAATTTAACCAAAGTTCAGACAGCCAAATTTTTTATACCAAATTTTCATCTGACAGATCCAGCCAATGTTAGTAATTGTTTGGCACAGGATATATTTGACTGAAGACTGCAGAAATATAAAGCATATTTTTGGTGCTAAAAATGGATGTGCGTTTACACTGTGACCTGAACAAGAAAAAAACAGTATTTTTTAACTAAATGTTTCATTTCATGGCAGACAATAGATGAAATAAGCCTCAAGTAGTCTTGCTTCACATTAGAAGAGTCTAAACAGGAGCATTTTACAATGAGATTAAGTGAACATTAGTTAATGGATTAGGCATCATCAGTTAATTATAGAGACGTCTTTGTTTTTTTTACAACATTCAATATTCCAGGTATGTTAGTTTATAAAGATAAATAATACTTTTTGTCATTGTTAATTCATGTGTGCTCAAAATACAATGTTATTTTATACAAAACGTATACATAAAAAATGTATAATAGCTCAGATTAATAAATGCTGTAAAACTGTAAAACTTGTGGCTGCTGTATTTTTCATTGTTATTTCATGTTAGCTCTTGCATTAACTAATTAATGCAAAGTGTCTGTTTTTTTAGATTTAAATGTACTATTGACTATTAAATTATTCATTAAACCTCTAGTTTATCCTTACCAAAACTCTCTTGTAACAAATGACACTGGGGTGAAAAAAAAGGTTCCCATAAAATTTTCCAAGCCAAGTCACACTTATATAACTCCATTACATCCATGCTCAGTATCAGGACAAACAGTGAGAGGAAAAGGGAGCGACCCACAGAGAATGATTACATTAACTGTGTGCTTTGGTCAACAGATTATATCAGGGTTGGTCATTGTAAGAAATTAAGCTGATGACGAAGAGGTCTGCAGGGTGTGGCTTCTTTTATGCGGTTAGAGATTTACCCAATAGTAGTTCAAGCAGTGTTTTGTTTTTTCAGTCTTTTTGTATATGAAAATTTCTGATTTTTATAATCTCTAATTTTAATTTTTAAATACAGTTTTTAATATATACCATGAAGGAAATGAATAACTCAAATCAAAATTCAAAATGCATTTCAGGAGCGTTGAACAGGTCTGAACGAGCCATGCTGAATTACACTCATTCCTCGCATGCCCAGGGGTCACGCTCTCAAACATTCTCAAACTGTACCTCTTAAGGGCATTTTAAACAGTATGTGATAGGCAGGCAGGCAGACACACACTGACAAGCCTAAGAGGTTACTATTAGGGCTGTGGTTCTCACGAGACAAGATTTTTGCAAAAATTTTTTTATATTTTTCCAGTCAAAATTCACTGGAAAAATTGTCTGCAGGTGCCATTTGAAATGTTTTAACTAATAATCTTGTAATGAATGCCATTTTTCAGTTGTACTTTATGAATATGAATTATCAAATGCACTGGAAGACAACAACATACAAGCAGTGTAAAAGGTTTTGCCACATACTTTTACACATACCTTACTGTACATGAATTGTGACCTCCTAATTTAAATGCTTTCCACAAACTGAACATAAATTAAAAGTATAAGTAAAAAAAAAAAAAAAAGTCTTACATGCAGACAATAAATTCAAGTGCAAACATAATCAAAGTACTATAGTGCACAGACTCTTTATAATTGATATAATTGTGAAATTGCCGTTTTGTTTTAAACCGGCAGTTCTAGGGTTAAGCTAGTACGGAAAAAGGTTGGATAGAGAGAAACAACTGAGTGAATTAGGCTGGTGCGTTTGTATACAGTTGTTCTTCCGTTCCAATTTAAGAATCAGAAACTGAGCCACCCTAGTCTGTCGTTCTTCAGGCGTAACGCTATCCAGCTCGTCGGGAGTAGATGGGGTTAGGTGTCTTGCTCAAGGACACCTCGACCCTTTGGTCAGGTGGAAGCGGGGATTGAACCACCGACCTTCCGGTTTGAAGACAACCTACATGAACCACTGAGCCACTGCCGCCCCACAGGAAATATACAGTCATGGTCAAAATTAATGGCACCCCTGGTAAATATGATGAAAACTGGCTATAAAAAATAATTCTGCATTG